ACACTACTAACTACACACATATATATATATATATATATATATATATATGTATGTATGTAGGTATATATATATATATTTATTTATATATATATATGTGTGTGTGTGAAAATATATATATATATATATGTATGTATACATATCGTAGGTGTTATGATCGTACGGCTGCATTTATGTATATGGGTTTTCTTTCTTGCATGTGTGGAGGTATCTACACAAATTTGTGTGTACACTCACTGTTTCATTGCTTACTATTGTGTTTACAGTTTTAATCACGCAGTTTTAAACACGCATGCATCTTCATAGATTGCTACCTTTTCTGAGATCTATTAATATCATTGACATCCGTTTGTGTGTTCACGTCTATTAGTGACATGATACATTTGAAGAAAATATTACAGGCACACAACGGGACGTTCGCTCACCAAATTACACATACATACGTATGCGTATATGCTTGTTATGTTAGATGGCATATGCGACATTTTGGATGGAAGAAGGCGCAGACATACACAACTGAGGATGTTCGCGGGGGAAAGCTTCTTCACTTCAACGGAGGCGATAAGCCATGGGTTCACAGGTGTGTTTGTGTATGAGCGGGTGTACTTCTGGAAGTATTCCATTAGTATTGTTGGAGTTATATTTGAATATAAAAAACAATTATCGATAAAAGTAATTTGGCTATGATGTATGCAGGTGTTGTCTGTCGGAATATTTTTTTTTGTCCTGGGTCCACCTTTATACTGTGCAAGTATGCGCGTGCCCAATCGCTTCATACAGTTTAGTAATTTGTGCATCAGATTTTAGGTAAAGGCGCATATACTTTCATACACCCAAGCATGTGTCGAAGCTCGTGCACCACCCAGGCATGGAATTATATATTTTCCTCTTGCAGCGGCATTCTCTACTCTTTCCCTCACTTAGTAACTCGGGAGCGCCTATCGCTACACGATCAGGCCTCTATTCCCAGCCCAAATCTTAATCTAGCAGGCAAACCTCACCGTGTACATAGTATGCCTCTCTATATTCTCCCAGAGTCATCACTATTCCCCCCAACCACTCTTTCATTTACCGACAAATTTTAATTTAAACCCACCCTCATATCATAATCGGCTCATGCTCACCCAGGCGCATACATGGCATCATTCTGATCATGGTGAACTAACAGTTGCTGCTGTACTCTGACTATATTATTACTCGCGCAAACGGTAACACATCTGTCCGTATCACAGGAGTAAATGGTTCTTGCTATGGTACAAGTACTTTCTCGAGGATCCATCGGGTGAGTGGGACATCCGCCCAGACGCGCGCGAGAGTGCACAAGTGGAGATAGAAGCTGTAGTGAACGGACAGCTTGACAGGGCGCTGACGGCGATGTCGGATGCCAAAAGATCTGTCCATAAACACCACATCATCACACCAGCGAGACCGGGAAGAATCGCAAACCCTAACGCTTGTACGTCGCTTGTAGTGTCATGTTTTTCGTTGTAGTTTCTAATCCATAGTCAATTTGGGTTGTGACTTTTTTGTGTCGATAAGCATAGTTTTCTGTAGCCTGTGGCTTCTATATCAGTGTTCAAGCATTATTGCAGTCCTATTTCCCGTGTGTGGGGGGGGTGCTGTGGGGTCTTTTTTTTTCAGATACCATACATAAAGGATACAAATACACTGCATAAACAAAGCCTATTTTGCAATTGAAGCTGACTTAAATTACTTATCAATTGGAACACGATCTGTGCACTGCAGTTTTAGACTCGATCTACGAAAAGACTCTGTTAAGGACGCTTCACGATTCCATTGCGGAACGCGTGTTGGAGGAGAGGGGCCTGGGCTGATCGAGAGCAAACTAGCAAATAAACTAATGATTTTTACATGGTTGGAAGGTTTGCTACAGCGATTTCCAAAAAAAAAAAAATCGAGAGGCCAGTATGTGATTGTGCAGTGAAGAGGAAGGTACAGTGAAAGCTTAGTGTCAATATGCTAGACAACGTATAAGAAGCAAAGTGACGAAGATGGCAGATTTTATACTTCTATCGGTACTATTTCTCGAAGATTGGCAGATTACTATTCTTCAAGGCTGAGGAATAAAAATTTACCTATTTGCTAGTATTTCCACACGATATATATGACAGATATACACCTGGATAAAGCCGAGGCTGCCGAGGCTGAAGTATATATTTAGTTGGCAACAATCTTAGAGAGAAAGAGAAAATGTTTAGGTGTTTTGAATCTTTACGTACATAACATTCTCTACAGAACAATAGCAAACTCATGCGTACAAGAGAACATACAAAACACGATAATATTTATTAGTATTCACTATTCTCTCACCAGTAGAGCTTGTCGGGTTCACTTCATGGTGGCCTTGGGAAACCCCGTAAAATATTCTGACGAGTGGTGCAGCTTGTAATTTTTAAATATGTCAGGTGTGTTGAGTCAGGATAATTTGACTGTGATCGGGGAATTCGAGGGGCTGTGGGTACGCCGGATGATAAACATCAAACATAAAAAAAAAATTCAAAGAGGTATCAATAACAATGCCATGCTTATTTCAATACCTTCATTCATATTCCCATAATCAGCTACAAATTACAATGCCACGCGCAGTCTCACAGACCAGGTCATGAGGGTCCTAAGAAGCGAAAGAAGGTATCTGGTGGAGGCTTCAGGCTGCGCGTTGTACGAGCTGGAGCACCTGGGGACTCGGGAGTGAGGGTCTGCGATTGTTGGCCTGCTGCTGTTATCAGAGTTCTGACTCTAAATCTGTGTTGGCAGTGTGGCTCTGTGGGCAGTCTGGTATGCGAACTCAAACCCCTGTACACTGCTACAATACTTCTTTGCCGGGCTTGTTGAGGGCTTGAGGCTTATCACTTAATCATTGGTCCTTGAGCTTGAACTGAGGCTGATGTGTCTGTTAATTTTCATAGCCCTCTATTATTTAAAAAAGAAAAAGAATCTAAATAAAAAATACATAATTTTCAACTTGTGGACATTTTTCTAAAAAAACAAGATCCACGTTCCTAAACTCATTGCAGAACCCAGAACCTCCAAAAAAAAACTCGTTATTCAACTCTTTCGTGTCCAAAAACAAGTGGCTAGTACGAGTTGAATTTGAAACAAAACGAGTTTAGAACATTTTATTAAACGGTTTGATAACTGTAGTTAATTTTTACAGCCAATGAACTTTTTTTTTTATAAAAAGTGTAGCAGAACCTCCAGACGAAAAGACAAAAACCATTACAGTGTAGTCAAGTGGTGCTGGACTAAGCTCAATACGTTTTGCCTATATGCGAGAAACTTTGAACGTAAACAAAAATAAAATTACTAGGAAATTACCTAGTAAATACATAGAATGCAAGTTATTTTTATTTATCTATTTATAGATTACGTTGTTTTTATTAAAACCGAGTATACATGTGTAAGCCACATAATTGGCTTATAATTGGCGCGTTAAACAGGAGTAGATATTGAAAGCAAACATGTTGTCAATATGTTAAAGGCTGGCACATGCTTCACAGCGTCAGGTCACAGGCGACAGCGTCAGACTTAATGGTCGCAGTCGAGAGTCGCAGGCATAGTTGTCGCAGTCGAGAGTCGCATGCATAGTGGTCGCAGTCGAGAGTCGCAGGCATAGTAGTTGCAGTCGAGAGTCGCAGGCATAGTGGTCGCAGTCGAGAGTCGCAGGTATAGTGATCGCAGTCTTAACAAATCTCGAAAATCAGTTCACATTAAACTTCAAGATCGGCGGGGATTTTACTATAGAGGTTGACCCAAATGAATATTAACAAATACGTCCCATTGGTCATTAAATAGTTCAAATTGTTCGCAATGACGAGTAATAAACACATACTTAATTATTCCAAAGAGTATAGGAGCAACATACTTTGATTAAATGAAACAAACGGACCTATATAGTAGTCATGTTTGACTAGTTTGACCCAACTCTGGTACAAACCGAATACTCTGTTATTTTTGAATCAATAGTCCGATCGGGATGAGATTGAGTATGTTTTTATTACTCGTCAATACGAACAATTCGATCTATTTAATGATCAATGGTATGTATTTTTAAATATACATCTGGCTAAACCTCCATAGTAAAATCCCCGCCGGTCTTGAGGTTTATATGTGAACTGATCTGACCGAGGAGCACATATTTTCGATAGTAAATATGACGAAAAATTGGCATATTATTTTTTTTAAATAATAAATATGCACTGAAAACGTTAAATAGGAAATATGAAATATGATATGAAATTTGCAAAAACAAAACAAAATACGCGTGTTGATTTCAGAAATACAGCAAAAAATTTAGTATTTGGTATAAAAAAATTGTAATATGCCATATTTAAAAATATGCCATAAATATGCCATATTTCTAAAATATGACTTTTTTTTTATAAATATGCCATATTTCTAAAATATGCCATACTTCTAAAACATATGTACAATATATATATATATATATATATACGAAATATTTATAATATATATATATATATATATATAANAATAATTACTAATATATAGTATTTACGTGTTATTAATAAATATATANCATAAGTCCTCGTTAAGTTTTTACG